TCCCGGTGCCTGGGGAGGCTGACGAGGTCCTGTGTCTGTCTGTCTAAGGAGGCTGACGGGATCCCTGTGTCCGTCTGTCTGGGGAGGCTGATGGGGGATCCCTGTGTCCATCTGTCAGTGAGGGGCTGGTGGGATCCCTATGTCCGTCTGTCTAAGGAGGCTGATGGGATCCCTGTGTCCATCTGTCTGATGAGGCTGATGGGGGATCCCTGTGTCCATCTGTCATTGAGAAGCTGATGGGATCCCTGTGTCTGTCTGTCTGGGGAGTCTGATGGAATCCCTGTGCCCATCTGCCTTGTGGGAAATGGGTTCATCTCTTCCTTGTGTCTGCCTGTCTGAGGGGGACTGCTGGGATTGCCTCCTTCCTCTGCCAGTCCAAGGACAGGCAGTCAGTGGTCAGGCTACAGGAGCAGACAGGAGGATGTTGTGGCTGCTGGGAGCACAGTCACACTCGAAGGAGGCATTCAGCTTTCTGTGTATGGGGTCAGGGTCGCTCACGCCTTTGCCTGAAGACCGTGGGACTGCCTGGTGTGATCTGTGGATTGTGCTGGATGCTGGCATGGAATCCAGCTGTGGAGATGCAGAGTGAGTGGAGGTAGAAGGGTGGGGAATGACTCTGGAGAGCCAGCTGAGCATGGCCAGAGACTTGGAGGGTTCCAGTGGAGTGTATGACAAGCTCTTCTCTTCTCAGGTGAGCCCTCTGCTGAGGGAGGAACACTGTGCTCCCAGGCCAGGGAAACATGTCCCGTCGGAAACAGACCACTCCCAACAAGGTGCACTGTGAGTATGACATTACAAGTGCTGTGGGACCCTTGCCTGGCTGCATTGTGGAGTGAGATAGGGAGGTACAGCCCATGGGGAGTGCTGGTTACTCACCTTCTATCTTAGGGAGTGTGAGCTTTGTGCATCAGGGGAGGTGACTGTGTCCTGGCCTGTCAGGACAGGGATAGGCTTGGACAAACAACTAATGCTGTAAAGGTAGGTGTGTGTGTGTGTGTGTGTGTGTGTGTGTGTGTGTGTGTGCAGGGCCTGTAGCTGAGCTCTGCATTCACACTGTCACGAGTGTGAGCTGGGACACTAGGAAACATGACTTGGGGCTCTGGCCTGTCTTGGGCAGCAAAGGAAGTCCTAGGCAAGGTGGTTGGAGCATGTGGCTGAAAGCCAGCAAGGCCTGGGTTTTGATCCTCACCCTGCCACAGACTCAGCTCACTGGCCTTGGGCATGTTACTTAAACTCATTGTACCTCAGTTTCTTACCAGATAATTTAATAAAGCCATTTGCTCTTTCCTGCCAGGGAATGGGCAGTGGCCAAGGAATTGACAGGACAGATAAATGCTGTCTGCCAGATCATTCTTGAGCTGAGCTGGTTGAGCGGATATCTGTTTTTCCAGTGTTGTCAAGCCCCTGGCACTTGACTGTGGAAGGGCTGGAGATGCTGTACATCAGCACTTCTCATGGGTAGGCTACAGCCAGGTGCCAGTGGAGCTGGGACACAGAAATGGAGGTTTGGCTGCAGAGGGAAACTGCACATGTATGGCTTTTGTTTGACTGATAGCAGCAGGGGGAAGTTGAGGGGCCTGAAGCTATGCCCTTATTCATACCCAGGTTTGTGGCTGGAGACACGCTTGGAATTTGGGCTGGGATGAGGAAAACAAGTTTCCACTTCCACAGACCCATGAGAGCAAGGCTGCTGAGAGGGCCCTGGGTACTGCTGGCTGCAGTAGCTGTCAGGGGTATGAGACAGAGAGCTGAGTGCTGCAGCCCTAACACTGCCTCACTGCTGGTGCTGCTGGCTTGCATGTCTGTGTGTGTCTGTGTGCTGCACAGGTACACAGCAGGGATCTGTGCATGCTGCTCTCTGTAGGAGGGAAAACACACCGTGGCGGAGCCCTCTGTGTCTGTGCTGGGAGGACTCTCAGCCCCACGCTCGGGCTTGGCAGGGCTGGTGGAGCTGTCCGTGGTGCCAGAGTGAGGGTCTCGAGGTGTGGCTTGTGGCACCTGCACTGCCTTGTGCTCTTGCCTCCTGCTGCTGGGTGCTGAGTTCCACAGTGGGCAGACCAGAGCTGTGGTTTGCCTGAGAGTACTTTAATGTGTGGAGTTGTCTTCCTTAGAGAAAGTTGGTATGTCCTCTGTTGTGTCTTGTGATGGCAGTAACACACCTTGTGTCCACACACTTCTGCTTGTGAGAGTGCCCAGGTATTACTGCTGCTGTTGAGCTCAGGTTTATGTCAGGCATGCCTTGTGCTGTCTCCCCTGGTGCAGTCAGGGTCTCTCCTTGATGGAAGCCAAGGACTATAGCAGCCCTAGTGGTTTATAGTTAGGCAGAGTTTCCATAGAGTTTAGGTGGGTGCGTTTCTGCACTCCACACCGTAAGGGTTACGTTCTTTAGAAGCTTATACTGTTATATACAAAACTCATATACTTACAGCTTGTGCTATTCTGTACAAAAGTAGATATCACAGAGTTCAGCTGTGCCCTGTTTTCACAGTGAACATTGCTTTTTGATCTGCGATACAAGTGATTGTATCTCCAGTCTTGGTCTCGGGGGAAGCTGTCTGACAAACACGCTACCAGTGGGCATGAGGTTGAGGTTGTGGCATCAGGTATGCTATGGAGAGGAACTCTGGGACCTGCTCACCTCCTTTACACGCAGTACATTGCTACAGACCAACTGTTCAGCGGGAGCCATCGGGAGCAGCAAGCAGGACCACAAGAAAATAAAGGAACCGAAAGACACCAGAAACATGTCAATGGTGATGGCTCCACCTTGGGATGGAAAATCTTGTCTGTCTTGTGATGAACACCACCAAATCGTTGGGACTTCTGTGTCTACCTAGTCTGCTGTGTGTCTGGAGGGCCCAGAAATGCCAAGCAGTGCCCTGACGAGGATAATCGGAGAGAGCATCGGCTCCAAGGATGGGGTGAGCCAGCAGAATGAGGAGTCAGGCTGAGACATAGCAAACTGGGACTTCTTCACAGGGACTGCAGTGGTTGGGAGGAGAGGAATGAAAGGGACAGCAGGTATGCAGCTTTTTACGCAGTTGTCTGCAGCTGGGGTCTGACTTGGCAGGCTATGGGGCTGGGGAAGTGCTTTTTGGATTTGCATAAATACAACTGTGCATATCTGACTGGACAAGTTTGATGGGAGGATGGTGCCTACTTCCTTGCATGGCCTCTCCATGTTCTCTTCTTTCTTGGACTCCCTAGGGCAAGTGACAGCTGCAGATCTCTCCCTGGCTTGCTTGTTGCCTCCTCTTCCCAGGGTTACTTTCCAGGCTTGGCATGGCCTTCATTTCACCTTGCTCTTACAACAACATGGTTTGCTCCCCTCACTCAGCGCAGAATCACTTTGTTTGGCATGCAGAGCGACCGGCTAGGAGGTTGTGTGGTTGCAAGTCAAAACAGTTTTCAGTTGGAGTTGGTGTGGAAGGAAATTCAAAATAATCCTGAAACCATGATTAAAATTACTATTATCACGAAAGTCATTGTGCATGATGGCCAGTCCACAGTTTTAATTGTCATTTCCCTGAAGCACATAATTGGCTCTTAATAGTTTTGTTTTGCCATGTGGTGCATGAGAAACACCTGACAAAGTGCTAACCAACAGATCAGTAATAGTGGGATATAGTTAATGAAAAATACAGTGCAGTTAGGTTGTTTCTGTGGAGATCACTTAATGGATTCAATTGGGTCTTTATTTTCTCCCAGAGTCTGAAGTATAAAAGTATAAAAGCTCTCTAAGCAATTCATCTGCTCTTGCATTCAAGCCCATCTACCGCTGCGCTGTCACCCCATCAGTCATGGACCGCTCGCTGTCCTCGTGCTTGCCAAAACCTGCTGCAGGTGCTAGCGTGCACCTCTCCCTCCCTTCTGTCCACAAGCTGCTTTGCTTTCTATTGCTTGTGCCCTCTGCAACTGATGCTTATTTTAGAACTCTGAAGAACAGCTTTTGTTAGTCAGATTAATTCCCACTTCCGAGCTCTATTTATCATGGTCCCAATATCCCATTAATCCTCTCTTTCCTTCCCTCTCTCTCTGACACACACATATTCTGTGCTCTTTGGTGTTCCTTGGATTCTGCTGTCTTATCATATTCCCAATTTGAAGAGAAAGTGTCTTGCAAGAAACAGCACCCAGCATTCACTACCGAGCAGAACTGTTACTTGCATCCAAACCCTTGGCTCTGCAGGGCTCCGTGGGCTGCCATTGTTAACCCTTTCAATTGTGTTTTTCATTTCAGTAACCACTACAGCAGTGTGGACATCCCAGAATAGCCATGGGGCAGGTGGAATAGATCCACAGTGGTGGAAAGACTTGCAAATTTCAGGTCCAGGAGCACAGAGAAGACCTTCATGAACAGGGATTTTAAATTGATATACAAGGAGGGAATAAAGTGACTCATCTCTGAGAGACCTTTCTGTTTAGGAAGGAAAGCAAGGGAATGATGCAAAACAAAATCCTTTGGATTTTTGTTTTGTGGATTTTGGGGTGGGAGTTGTTTGTTTGTGTGCTTATTTTCCAGAACACCTGAGAGTTACCCTGCATTCATACAATTCCAGAAGGGAAGGGCTTGGGGCTGCACCCCAACAGACCCTAGCAGTCATGCCTGTCCTTGTTGCACAGTACCACAGGGCTGTCCCCTACCTCCACCGCTGCTCACCTGGCATCCCACTCATTCACAGGAGTATGGAGAGGAGAATGGAATGCAAAGCAGAGGCATTTATGTGATCTCTCATGTCCTACATGTCTAGCTGTAAACAATGACAGTGACCTGTTCTGGTGTTGTGGTCAGTCTCCAGCCCATTTTGTATTTAATAAAGAAACTTCTGGAGAAGAGTCTGTGAATTCACTATTGAGCATAATATCCTTTACTGATGGCAATGATCCTAAAGCTGTTGACTGTCTTACTCCCCTTCTGAATGAATGGAAGTGAATCCAAAGTGAGGCAGAGGTGTGGTTGTGTCTGTGTGTGAGCATGTGTGTGCAGAAACAATAACCCTGTACCTATCAAATATCAAAGCTCTAAAGCTTCATCAAGGTAGGACTTAACCCATCAGTAGATGAACAGGACACTCTTCCCCAAGTTCTTCTGGACAGTGTTATTTTAATACAGAAGTTCCGTGCAAGCTGAAGACAGCATTTTTACCTGTTTGCCTTTCCCAGTCCCATGATGTTTTTGGATACAGGCTGTGAAGGATGCACAGGATGTTGCCTGCTAACAGCATGGGTTTGGTTAACAGTTTGCATTGCTGGCTGTGAGCTGGTTGTTCTCTGCACTGTGCTGGGTCGAGGCTCACTGGGCTCTGGGGGTGTTGTACAGAGAGGCCATGGGCACACACGATGCGCTCAGTTACCGTGACTGATGCCAGAGTTCTCTGTCACCCTGGAGAGATCTCAGCTCTGAAATCCTGCAGACTGTCCGCGTAGTTTGTACAGCTGAGCAGGAACCTGCCTGCCCTTGGACTCGGGGCTGCTGCTCGGTGGGAATGTAATCTGCCTGGAAGGGCAAAGGGGAAAGAAAACAAACCTGGCACTGCTTCCATGAGCAGTTGGAGCACGCTGCAGTGGCGCTTGGGAATCCTGTTCTGGAACTCTGTTACAGGTAGCACATCTCCCAACGAAGTCTCTCCTGGCTTCTGCAGGTTTCACCATGCTTTCTCATTCTCTTGCAATGCTTTGTTGGTCTCTGGGCTTTTATCGTGGTGGTTTGTGGGTATCTGATTCTTGGAATGGCACTGGAATTCTGTGGTGTCTGCTGCTCATACAGTCTGTATCTCATCCCACCAGCCTGAGGCTGTGGTCCAGACATAAAAACAGCACTCCAGGTCATGAGGACCATTCAGTGCTGGAATGGCTTCTGAAGGGGATACATGTGTCACAACAGTCATGGTGGTACCTGCTGCTTTCAGTGACAAATAGACCTGGGGTGCTCCTCAGCACCTCTCCTCACCACATGGATTGTGTTCTCAAGTCTTCTCTACAGAAACCTTGCTCACATTTCTGAAACAGAACAATAAAAGCCTTCAAATGCTTTTGGAAATCTCCATGGGGACATTGGGAAATAAAACTCTTCTCCCACAGTCTCTGTGAAACTTGTAAAGGTATTTGAAATCCTCCCTAAATTACAGCTCACTGCTGCCCCGCTGCATTGGCAAGGTGAGCCCCAGGCAGGCAGTGTGATGGGCACACACAGCAACGCTGGGAACAGTTCGGCAGTGGAAATGTGCCTGTCCCTGTGTGACAGGACTGGTGATCGCTCTCTCAGAGAGAGAGAATTCAGTTCCCTGGGTATACTGGTGCCAGCTGTGGTCCTGTACTAAAAGGTAACATTTTCTTCTGAAAGCTGTTTTGATGTGAAAAATACGCTGTGTCTTCCTTGGCAGTTTTGCATTTGTGCATTGAGTGATTCTTGGGCACTTACAAATCAGTTGGTAAATGCATCCCAAAGCTAGCCTGTTGGGAACTTCAGCACCTTGTCCCAGGCCTCCCAGCTCATCCACTGAGAAAAGTAAATTGCAATTGCACCTGGAACAAAGTCATCCATTTGCTTTAATATGAACATTATCAGTTGCTTTTTATTGTTATTCTCTGGAACCAAAAGTTCCCTTGAGCAGGGATTGCTGTAAGAAATTGTCTTTCAGAAAAGCACAAATAACTGCTTCTTTCAAGGTGTTTACCATCTCCTATTTAGATGAGGTCAGTGCTTTCAACAAAACAGACTGCTTTGTCCTAAACACATCTCAGTTCTCTGGATTCATTCCCTTAGGTTTCTGTTTTGAGCACATGAAGTGCCACTGAGATTTATTTTAGCCAGAGCCATTCTTGGGCAGGGCAAGGTAGTGAAGCAAATTACCCATCATGTACACAGGAGAACATCAACTCTGAGTGCAGACACCTGCAAGGGCAGCTTGTCCTCCTCCCTCTTGGGACAGCAGGCAGTGGCAGAGCATGCCAAGGACACCCCCTGGTTCTGGTATCACTGTTGAGGGCAGGTAAGGTACCAGGAACGTAGGGAGATGCTATTTTTGTGCAAGATGGCTGTTATAGCAGGCAATAGGATGTAGTGATTTAGAAGAGCCACGCAGTGCTGTGCCTGATCTGGGATACTGCCATAGTCCCTGAGGGGCTTCCCCCTGCCCGGAGCTGTGCCATAGGATATTGGTGGATAGCCTGGCAGCAGCAAGAGCCATCTGGCTATTTATGGCAGGTATATGGGGTCTCGCAGGTCTTTCGTGGCTGGAGTGGCAAATACAGAGTATGTGGGGGCAGCCTGGTGCTGCACATTGCCTCTAGTGATACTGGTCTACGCCCAGGCACTGGATGTGCATCAGAAGGTGCCAGAGGCTAGTGTGGCAGGGTAGGCAAGCAGAGAGGTGACCTAAATGCTTTCCAAGAGGTGACTCCAGAGGCTCTGCACAGTGCAGGTGAGCAGCCCCATGCCTGTTGTGTTTTTGGCAAGCCTCGGTGGTGAAAATGACAGAACGGCACCGATCTGACTTTTTGTCCTTGTGGCTGCCAGGGGAGCAAGTCTTTGCAGGGCTGGAGGAGCAAGCCCGACAAGCCATGATGAAAAACAACTTTCCTGGAGCCCTTGGAGACCAACGGCCACCCATTCGTCCGCTGCAGGACCCCGACTCCAGCAGCAGTGAGTTCTGCCCCTTTCCATAACAGCAAGGGAGTGGACTGGGGAGACAGCCGAGGTCTAGGTGCTGCACAGCATCCTTTTGCCCAGCTCCTCCTCTGAGTTAGCTCTTGGCTCCTGTGCAGGACTTTGTCCCAAGGGACGGCAAGCCCAGAGCCAAGGACCAGCACAGCACAGACTGGGCAATGCCCTTACCACTGGGACACGGTCCCAGGTCATCAGAGCAGGGTGGGAACAGCAGTGGGTCCAGCTGGTGATCCAGCAATTGTCAAGCCAAACAGGGTAAGAGGCCATGTCCAGGGACCTTGCAGAGCAGCTCAGGGACTGAAGTGCCCCAGCCTGAGTTTAAAAGGACCCCCTGGTTGGTGGGGGTGGGTAGAGGCCCTGTGTTATGTTGGTCAGGATAGTTAAGGCCCATGAGTGTCCTCAGGGTCCTGACACTTGCTTAGCATAACTGTTCTGCACGTTCCAGGTGGCAGTGATGATGAGGAAACCACTCAGGATGAAGTCTCTTCCCACACATCTGAGGAGGATGGCTCAATGGTGAAAGTGAAGAAAGAATTAGAGAACGCAGAACGACCTGTGGCCGGAACCCCACTGATAAGAGAGAATGAGGCAAGTGTGTCCTGGCTCTGCATTCCCCGTAGCCTCCAGGAACAGAGACTGTCTAAACACCTCTCCCCATCATGGCTCCTTATCTTTCTCTCCCTCCCACCTCCTTCAAACAACGTCTCCTGGAGGAGGAACGGGTCTGAAAAGCTCTTGGGCTGCCAGGCAGGCATCAGCTGGCCACAATATTTGTGGCCAAGATGTTAATTTCAGTTCTGCTGCCTTTCTCTGACTGACTACCCCTTCTCCCTGCCACAGAGCGGGTCCTGCCTTCCAGAGCCACTGGGCTGGCAAGAGCCTGGGTGCGAGTGGAGGCTGTGAGGTCTCTGCCCCTTCTCCCCAAGACACAGGAGTTTTGCTCAGAGGCTACATGGAGGAGGTCTCAGCCAACAAGAACCCAAAGCAGCCCCAGTGGGACAGCAGTACTGGGAGGGCAGTGTGGCTGTGGGGGGTCTGTGTGCCTCACACCAAAGTGGCTGTTCCTCCCTATAGGTGCCCGAGAGTTTGACTGCTGACCCCATGCTGGGACTGTCACAGTGTCCCCTCTGCCAGCTGGAGTGTGGAAGCAGAGAGCAACTCATTGCTCACGTGTACCAGGTAGGGATAGCTCCAGACTGTGGGGTGTCTCTGGCCTTATGTCCTAAATCCAGAAACAACCCAAACCACAGGATAACTTTGTTCTGGTCTTTGCAACCACAGAACTGAGCTTCTAACTACGATGTGACTGACGTTTACAGCAGTAAACCGTGTCCAGAGGGTGTCCTGGGAAGGAATTAGCAAGGCACTGGTCTGCAGATCTGGAAAACACAGCTTTATCCCCAGGCTGTCCCTGCAAGTGTTGCAGGCTAAAACCAGGCAGCTCCTTCAGATTAAACATGGAAACAATTTTTATATCATTTAGTGAGATAAGAAACCTTCCTAATCATGCATTTATTTTGTACTTCATTACAGTTCCTACCCATGAGAATAGCTGCTCTTCCTCTAAAGGATTCCAGTTTTGCAGGCAATCTGTGGTGGAATCTCACAGGTTTTGTTGTCAGTGCTCACTTCAAAGCACATCAAAGTCTGTAACAGAATGAAGCAGAATTGAATTGGCCACTTACCTGCACCAGCTGTCTCCATCTAAGCGCCTCCTCTCCAGCATCCTGCTTGCTGTTAATCCAGTCATGCTTTGTCCAGCACCAGCAGCTCCTCAGATGTATTTCTGAAAACAAGGGTCAGGTCTTACGATCCAAGTGTGTTGGCCTTCATAGTTTCTCCTGCACTGGAGTGGAGCTGTAGGAAGGTTTCCTCCTTGCTTGACCTGTGACACACCAAATGTCTTGAGCTTGGTCTAGGAGCTGTCAGAGGTTTAGGGGTGAAGGGTTCCCATTCCAGGAGGCTGAACTGAATGGTTTGAGTGTGCCTCAGAATGGGCAGAGAGCTGGGCAATGTGTAACTAACACCTGAGTGGTTGTTTTGCAGCACACTGCAGCAGTGGTGAGTGCCAAGAGCTACCTGTGTCCTGTGTGTGGCAGAGCGCTCAGCTCACCGGGTTCCCTTGGGAGGCACCTCCTGATCCACTCAGAGGACCAGCTGTCCAACTGTGCAGTGTGTGGAGCACGCTTCACCAGCCACGCCACTTTCAACAGGTCAGGGTTACCCTGGCTGGGGAATGGGCTAGGGCACCACATTAAAGATTAGGTGGATTGCCTTAAATGACTCAGAATTTGTGGCTCTGGACCCGACAGTGCCAAAGACCCCCAGTGAGTGAGAGTCCCTTAATTCCTTCCTATCTGCAGCTCTGCATCCGCTGCTAAGACCTCTGTGGGCTGTGCTACTGAAAGGGTTTTCCTCAGCTCTGTGCAGAGCTAAAGTGTTGCAGGAAGCACTGTGGGCTCCAGTCACTGGAGAATGATCCACTGTATCCCTTGCCCAGCAATCCATTGGAGTAGGGCTGCACTGCCCAGGTGGGTTCATGATTTCCAGAGCAGGGCTAGAGACAAAGACCAGAACGTACTTTTTTTGTGTCCTGCCTGGTGGGAGATTATCCACTGGCCAGTGGAATGGGGCTGTAAAGAGAAATCCAGAGATGATGGGAAGGAGCAGCTTGCTGGTTAATTCCTGCTCTTGCAGTCTTCCAACCCAGATACTGCTCTGGGCTAACCCACTTCCTACCCCGGGTAGGATGGCGCATTATTTAAGATATTCAGGCACATCTGTGGGCAAATCTCTGCCTTGGGCTGCAGTGGGGACACTGTTCATGGCAGCCCCCGGGCACTCCACGATGGGCAGTCTGCCCACAGCACCAAGTCTCTG